ATGTATAATTAAACTAACCTCAAAACTAACTATTTCATATAATTATTATATTAATATAAACAAGATAAATTATTAAAGAAAATGAGAAATTAAACATACAATCAAATTGACATAAATAAGGCTATATTTGACATAAATAAAATCAAATATACTATCTCCGGTCCTAATTATAAGACCTCGTTTATAGTTTATAAACAAAGTCTTATAATTAGGACTAGAGGTAATATTTGATAGCTGCACGACATGACTTGCCAATTATTTACTCAGTTAATCAATCTGAGATTTGGTTCATCTGATTTCCTTTTAAAGTACCGTTCCCCTTTTATGAAAACACAAATAATGATGAAATATTTTTTTAACATTCACATTTTACACCAAATTAGCAATTTTGTTACATCTCAAAGTATCATATTTGGTATCAGACTCTAATAGAAGTCTTATAAAAATCTTCTGACAAAAAAAAAAGACTATACTATAAAAGTCAAAGTTCATAATGTATTAGTGATGTGAAAAGTGATTTTATTGTCAGATAAATAAATTAGCAGGAAAAAAATTTAGTTAATAAAATGTGATTTACCCTATCTTATTCCATCCGGCTAGGACAATTTGAGTAGTTGATCTTTTAACATGAATTATGTCAAAACCATTCATCGTGTAAATATCAATACCACTTTGGAGTAATATCTCTTCAAGAATTTTCACAACTTTCTTGACTGAAATTCTAAGTTTACCTTCCTTTTCAAATTTTTTGTATTAAAAAAAGAAATGATGAATATTAACTCTTTCAATTGATCAATTTGAGATTTACTGTTATTATCTTTTGAGATTTGTTGTTGTCACATTCTACTCAAAATGGCCAAAATCAAATTTGCCATGGTCCCTCATTCCAACCATTATGCCAAGCAAATATCAATTTATTCCCCATACTTTACAAGCTTGGTTAGTAATTATACATTGGCAGAATTTAAACAAAAAATGTGTAACTCATTTGAGAATAATTTTTTGCTTTTAAAATTTGGAGTGGTTGTTCTTGTGGCTTGCTTCCCCATCTCAATATCCAACCAATTGCTCGTTTTAATTTTAGTATACCTCTTAACGGTTACAATAATGTAAAAAAATAAGTACTGATGACAAAACGATAAATATTGATAAAATAAATCATGTTGAAAATAGCATGTCTTAATAAAAAAAACTAGTTGCTTACCATAATTTAGACGGTATAACTTTTGTAACAATGCCTTTTTTTTGGGGAAAAATCCCAAAAAATGATTGTTAAATTTCAAAATTTCAAATCAGGAATTACTATAAAAATGTGTTGTTATTTGTTTTTCAAATGTAGTTATTTTCTTTATGAATGTAATAACCAATACTGATTTAGAATTTTGAAATTCAACCATCACTTTTTTGGAATTTTTCCTTTTTTCCCCCCTCAAATCAACTAATGGATGAATTTTATCATTTTTATTAAGTAGAATAAGAAAGAATTAAGAATGGCAGAGGGAAGAATGGGTGAAAGAATGAGATCAATATATAAAAGCGGGAGGTATAATAAAAATAAGAGATTTAGTTGAAAGTATACAAAGCTATTCACAAATTACACATCTTTTTTTTCTAAATCAATTAATAAAGTGAGTATTGAGTTGCAATAACATGTTTTGATTGAGAACATTTTCAAGTAGGACTAGTTTTTACTAGTTTCCCTTTTTAATAAAGAAGTACTTATAATAACACGTTCTTAATACTCACATTTGATACCCAAATGAATAATTTTGTAATAATTATTTTTAATTATAATTAAAAGTGTCAGAGTATCAAAATTTAGTATTAGGCCCTAATTAGGCACATAATATAAGTTTTACAATAGTACCATATCTAAACTATATCACAAAAGTTAAATTTCATAATTTTTATGATTTGGACATAATTAAAAATATTAGAACTTGGTATCAGAACCTCAAACAAATGTTTAATCTTTTATTTTTTATTTTTAATTTACTTGAGAATGTAAAAATGATCATTAAAGAGTGAATTTAATCTTCATATATATAGTTTTCCAAAATTAAAAATTATCGTTATACAAACGGTTTAATCTTTTTTTAATTTCTTAGGGAATATAGAAATGACTATTAAAGAGTAAACTCAATCCTCATATTTATGGCCCGTCAAAATTAAAAATTATTTTAGAAATACTTCAAAAAAAAAATCAAAACACTACTTATTGTGGAACAAGTTATCGATTTGTGCATGTAGTTTATTTAAAGCACATTAGTTTCTTAGATTGTTAGTTGTTAATGTAATCTTTTTAGTTAATTTTTTTTTTCTGCACTTTAGATTTAAACCCCCTTCTAACTTATAAATTTTGCTTATTTAATTTCTCAATTTAAGTGGTCAACTCACAAGCTTTTTAGGAGATAACCCAGGTTATTCCACTGCATCATATATGCATCACAAACGTTATTCTTCTTGATCCTTACAAATCATCTAGATAAACTTGATGGCTATATAGGTGCCTAGATTAACTAATAATTATTTATTACTCAAAAATTTTAAATTAGCACGGTAGCTTTTAATACTTATTTAAAATTAATGATTGTAAATGAAAATTAATTGATATGACCTAATCCAAATCAAATCAATTTAATTTAAGCAAGCAATGTCTCAAATAAAAAATTAAAATCGACAGGTTGCTTTTCAATATAATATCAAATTTTAATTTAAATAAATTTTAAAAAATGGGATATATTTCCAAAAGAAAATAATAAATGTTGCACGTGAGTTACGATCATATATCTAATGTGTTTAACAGACAACTTGAATTTGGTTAATAAAACTTATACATCAAGAAGAAAATTTGACTCTTTTTTATCACAATCAAAACTCAAAAGAACCATCAAGGCTCCTAGATCACTTTCATTTGAAATTTTTATACTATCTCCTTTTGAAATTTTTCTTATTTGCTTCCTTCTTTATATTATTCGAAGTTTTTGTTCAGATTATAAGTCAGTTTCTTTATAATGAATTAGATGCTCTTCCTCTAATTATAAATTAACATAAAAATTAAAAAAATAGACTTTCATCAATGACAAAAAAAAAAAAATCACCAATACTGTAATAAGGTGAGGAAAGTCGCTATATGGGTCAGAGTACTGACGTTGCCGATGCATTGTTATTCTGAAGAGTGTATGTGGGAGCTGGGTAATATGATAGGTAAAGCCCTTAAGGTCGATATGAATACTCTTGCCCAGTCAAATACGAACGGAAACCATACAGTGGAGCGTGGAAAATTCGCAAGGGTTAGTGTGGAAGTGGATTTAAACAAGAAATTACAGTCCAGATTCGTGATCAGGCGAAAGATCTACACAGTTGAATATGAAGGCCTTGACATAATATGCTTTAAATGTGGATTATATGGCCACAAACAGGAAATGTGTTCCCTGAATGCTGAGAAAATGGAAGAGTCATCGGAAAGGAGCCCCTCGCCCATGGATGCCGAACAACAGAAGGATCATTGGAAAGGGAAACATACCTTGTTCAGTGTGCCAGGAGTTACCTCTGCTGAATCGTACGAAGATTGGATGAAAGCCACAAAAACCTTCAAACGAAGGACATCAAAGTCGGAAGTAGAGAGAAAATTTCAAGGGAAAGCAGAAACGAGCAGCAGACCTATGGCAAGAGAGCAGAAAGCTATGCCTGGATCAAGATTTGACGTGTTGCATGATTTGGAAAATATGGTCAAATCAGCCGAACAAGAGACAGGTAACAAGAAGAAGGAAACTGTGAAAGAATGGAAGAGAAAAGAGAATAGAGCAGACATGCAGAAGGAGAATGAGACCGTTGGCGGAAAAGAGAAGAAGAGTGGAGTCAACTCCTCGGGTGGTGAAAAGAAAATGAAAGAGAAAAAAATGCAGGAGCCACTGACGTCAAATGGGAGAAAAGGTAAAGAGAAGCTAGGAGGGAATAAGAAGGAGGATGGGACCACAGTAGAGGTGAGAGAAGAAGAAACCAGACCGTTGGGCTACTGTCCAGGCCCAAATTCGGAAGACCCCAGAAAGATTGGAGGGGAGAAAATTAAAAGAAGAGTGGAGTCTAAAAAGAGGAACCAAGCTACAAGGCCCAAGATCACTTCACCAGTGCTAAAGCGTAAATCTACAAGCAGAATACACCAAGTAATTGTTGGGTCTTTGTTAAAAATTGGCCCACTTGTGTTTAATCAGGAGGCCATGCCAAATCCCCAAAATGAAGCTCAGATGGATGCCACGGTGCCCATAGAGCAGAACTCCATGAGGAGGGAGAACTCCCAGCACCAGATGGAAGAGGAGTTACATAATCCATCGAAGCTGCCACCTGATATAGGAATTGCATCAATTCCTGAGGAACAAGGAAAGGATGCAACGGAAGCTAATGATTATTGGTATGAGACCCAAGATGATGTCAGAGAGGTAGAGGATCTGGATGAAAAGAAGATGCATGTAGGGCCGTTACACTGAGCAGGTAATGGTCTTCCTTTTTCCTCCAATTTCTCAATGAATGTAGTAGCTTGGAACTGCCGAGGAGCGGCTTCAAAATTATTTCCTGGTAGAATAAAGGACCTGTTGAAAGGAAGGAAAATAGATATTCTTGTTTTGATGGAAACTCGTGTGAGTGGTTTGAAAGCAGATAGAGCCATCCATAAAGTGGGCTTCAGTCACTAGATTAGACTTGAGGCTACAGGATATGCAGGTGGCATTTGGGTTCTATGGCAAGAGGAGAATATTGCTATCCAATATGTTTCCTCCTCTACTCAATTCATGCATATTCATGTTGAACTCACGGATTTACAACAAAAGTTATGGGTTACTTGTGTTTATGCTGAACCTTGTGGAATTCTGAGAAATTCTCTTTGGAACGATTTAATTAATTTAAGTACACAAGTAGTTGGGCCTTGGATGGTGATAGGTGATTTTAATGCTTATTTATCCATTGAAGATAAAAAAGGCAGGGCAACTCCAAATGTTCGGTCTATGCGACAGTTTGCTGATTGTATCCAACAGTCTGGCCTGATTGTAATAGACACAGTGGGTGACAGATTCACTTGGGAAAGGAACAATATCAAAGAGAAAATTGACTGGGCCTTTGGAAATGAGGAATGGAATTGGTTGTGGCCGACTGCTAAGGTTCACCATCTTAGCAGATATGGGTCCGATCATAGGCCTCTGTTCCTGAATTGTAAGCCTGAAGAAGTCCAACAAAGAAGGAAAACTCCCTTTAGGTGTCATGCAGCCTGGTTACTTGAAGAGGGATTTATTGAGGTGGTAAAGAATGCTTGGGAGAGGGGGGAGTGGCTTGATAAAGTTCAAACTTTTGTAGAGGAAGCTAGGATTTGGAACAGGAATAATATTGGGAATTTATCTGTCAAGAAGCAAAACTTAATAAGAAGAATTGAAGGCACTGATAGAGCAAGATCAAGAAGAGATAACTAGTTTTTGGTGCAAATGGAGAAGGAGTTATGAAATGAATACAACAAAGTTCTGGCTCAAGAAGAGCTAATTTGGTTCCAAAAATCAAGGTGCAATTGGCTCAAATGGGGAGATAGGAACAGCAAGTATTTCCATACTTCTACTATAATTTGGAAAAGGAAAAATAGGATTGAAGGCCTTAAAAAGGATAATGGAGAATGGTGCTTTGATCAACAAGAGCTGAGGAAGATGGCAAAAGATTACTACAGGGAGCTATTCCGCAGTGGCATGGTTAATTCACAGGAGCTTAAGACTGGTAATGGGTTCCCTACTCTCTCTTATGAAGATAAGCTCAATTTTGCAACAGAAGTCACGGAGGAGGAAATTAAGAGAGCTGTTTTTGATCTTGGTGCTTTCAAGGCCCCTAGACCGGATGGTTTACAGGCTTTCTTTTATCATGAGTTTTGGCATGTTATTGGTGAATCAGTTTGTGGTTTGATTAAGGAGATTTTTGAGGACCCGAATCATATCAAAAAACTGAATGATACCAATATTGTACTCATTCCCAAATCAGACCAGCCGGAAGCTATGAGGGACTTCAGGCCCATTTCTTTGTGCAATGTGAGCTATAAAGTGGTGACGAAGATAATTAGTAAAAGATTGAAGGTGATTATGAACAAAGTTGTGGGGCAACACCAGTGCAGTTTTATTGAAGGGAGGCAGAGTAGTGACAACATCATTATTGCCCAAGAAGTGATTCATTCAATGAAACTCAAGACAGGTCAGAAAGGGTGGCTAGCAGTGAAAGTGGATTTGGAGAAGGCCTATGATAGGCTTGAATGGAGTTTTATTAGAGATACTTTAAAGGCAGTGGGCATCGAGGATAAACTGTGCAACTTGATCATGACCTGCATTTCTAGCTCTTCATTCCAAGTATTGTGGAATGGGGAACTGACAGATTCTTTTTCTCCTTCAAGAGGTATACGACAAGGGGATCCCATGTCTCCTTATATCTTCACGCTATGTATGGAAAGGCTGAACCATGTAATCAGGGATGCCATAGGAGATGGAAACTGGAAACCGTTAAGATTGAATAGGGGAGGGCCTCAGGTGTTTCACTTATTTTTTGCTGATGACCTTATCCTCTTTGGAGAGGCATCAAGCTCTCAAGTTGACACTATGTTGAGATGTTTGGGTGATTTTTGCCATGCTTCAGGCCAGAACATGAACAGAAATAAAACGAAAATCTGCTTCTCAAAGAATGTCCATATTACAAGAGCCCTTGATCTTAGTAGGAGGATGGGAGTTGGTTTGACATCTGATCTGGGTAAATATTTAGGTATTCCGCTCATTCATAAATGAGCGTCCTATGTCACTTTCGCCCCCTTGGTGGAAAAAGCTCAACAAAGACTTTCTGGTTGGAAGAGAAATTGCTTGAACATGGCAGGACGATCTACCTTGATTAAGGCAGTACTTTCAGCACTTCCTTCTTATTACATGCAAACAGTATTGTTACCGAAGCGATTGATAGAGGAGCTGGAAAGAAAGAATAGAAGTTTTCTGTGGGGTCAACAAGATAATCATAGGAATCTACATCTTATATCTTGGGATCAGGTGACTAAGGAAAAAAAGCAAGGCGGCTTGGGTATTCGAAACCTGAGAAGGCAGAATGAGGCATTCATCATGAAGCTGTGTTGGGGTCTCATTTCTAACAAGGAGGCGCTTTGGGTTAAAGTACTCCGAGCAAAGTATCGATGTGGGAATCAGGACTTGCCTGAGATTAGTAAGAAGAAGCAGGCTTCTCGTACTTGGATGGGTATATGTGATGTTTGGGAAAAGTTCAAGAAAGTTGTGGGAAAGAAAATAGGCAATGGTGTCTCTACCTCTTTTTGGTATGACAATTGGTCTGAGCTAAATAAACCACTAGCGGAGGTAGTCCCGAATTATGAAGACTTGATAAATGGAAATGAGAAGGTGGCAGAGTATACAGGTCCGGATGGAGGGTGGAATAGAAGGAAAATGGAGGTGTGGCTGTCCCGTCATATGATTGATCGAATCCTTTGTGCACACCCACCCTGTGAGGAGAGAGGAGAGGACAAATTTTATTGGAAACCATCTTCTGATGGTCGTTTTTCTGTGAAATCTGCCTATAACTTTTTGTTTGCAGGTACATTACGCCTGGAAGATAGCGTTTGGAAGCGTATTTGGAGGTGGCCAATGCTAGAGAAAATCAAAACTTTCATCTGGCTATTTTGCCATGGTAGAGTACATACAGCCCAGCTAAGGAGAGTGAGAGGTATTGCAGAGACAGACATATGCCAGCTAGGATGTCAACAAGTTGAAGATCAAATGCATCTTCTGCGTGATTGCTCGAATGCGGTAGATAGATGGAGATCGGTTGTCGACCCAACCAAATGGCATACTTTCTTCTCCCTTTCAGGTGCAGATTGGATCAACTAGAACCTCATACAAGAAGCAGGACGCCAGTTCACTAAAAAATTGCCTTGGAGGACACTTTTTGGATACATATGCTGGGATATTTGGACATCTCGATGCAGTAAAGTGTTCAATGACCAGGATATAATTATTAGAAGACATGCTAATGATAGCTTCTTCCGAGCTTGCTTGGATTACAGCCTAGCAAGAAATTGTTCAATATACAGGGTGGAACCTAATCAGCAATAGGATACCAACAGTCTTGATGACACTTATGTTAAGCTGGAAGTGGATGGGTCTGTCCTGATGAATGGACAAAGTGGTTGTGGAGGAGTCATTCGGGATCACTTGAATCGTTGGATATGTGGTTATTGCTCTAAACTCACAAATGTGCCACCAACTATTGCAGAACTGATGGGGCTCTTACACGGTTTGAACTTATGTTGGACTAGAGGCTTTTGAAAGATTTGTATCCACTCAGACAACATAGAGGCTATCAACTTAGCAACTCGGGGATGCGAAGAGGAGTATCCGTTCAAAGACTTAGTCGATGAGGTCAAACTGTTTATTAATAGAGATTGGTTAACTGTATTTTGCCATGTAGGGAGGGAATCGATTCCCTTAGCAGACCACTTAGCAAAGTCTTCTCATGGGATTGATGGCAATTTTTGCCTCTTTGATCAACCTCCTCCCAACATTTCTGGGGTGGGGGCCGATCAAGGAGTGTAAGAATTGCTAGGTTAAGTCTGTTTCTTTGTATCTGTTGCTTGTTTCCTAGTTATCATTCAAAAAAAAAATCACCACTAAAAATTAACTTTTTTTGATGATTTTTCAGAGTGACCATTGAAGATCTCACTTTTAATGGCAACAGTTTTTATCATTACTAAAAGATCGGCAGCAACAGCTAAAAAAAACTTAGTAGCAACATTCGTCATTGCTAAAAGGCATTTCCGTGTCGTCGTAAAAGTCTTTGCCGAAAATTATCGGCCAAAACCACCATGCTAAGGATTTTTTTAGGACAAAAAGTTGCCACTAAAAGTTAATTTTTTAACTTTGTAGTGATGTGATCCGCCTCATGTGGAAATTAACATCATACCGAAAAGAACTTGAAAATTAAAATGAAGATACTATTGATCCTTAATGCCATATGATACATAGTAAGATATATGGAGACAAATTTATATTTTAACCTTATTTTCAATGTGCTAATGCCAACGGCAACTTTTCTTACTAATATTTACCTCATGCCTTCTCAAACTCGATTGATGATTCACACATAATTTTTTATAGAATATTATTATAATATTTCTTTTTATTATAAAATTAGTAGCATAAGTTACGCTATTTCTTTTTATTTTGACAACCCTTATTGTTTAAAACAAGTTTAGTAGCTGGATGCCCTTTAAATGTAATGATCAATCTTATAAGATTGTCATTTTTCGGAAAATATGTATAGTTGCACTAATGAGTCTAGCCAACTAGCCATGATATAAAAGTACTTGCTTTACCGGGAACTTAGGTGGCTATTACTGCGGAGAAAAAGTACATCAATAAACGAGCACCATGACCATTGACCATCACGATACTTTCCCTTAATGTTACTCCCTCTCTTTCCTTTTTACAGAGACATTTGATGTTTATGGCATGTTTCTATATATAAGAAATATTTAAAAGTTGTCTATATTTTTTTTTGATTTTCTATTTTATCCATATTTATTTTGTCTCTAATTCATACTCTCTTCCTCCCACTTCTTTTTTTTTTAATAATTTAATTGTTCTCTCATGTTTTCTCTCCTTATTAATGAGATATTTTTGAAAAACAAATTATACTTTTTACACATTGATTACTTTAACTAATTTTAACTGTTTTTTTTATCAACATAATTTAGTTATTCGTCTCTTATATAAACAACGGAGGGAGTATAATATATGAAAGCGATCGGCTCATAGCAGAACAGACTCAAATCTGTATGCATTTCTCAGACATGGCGAGACTTGGGATTTCTCTGTTACTGCTGAATCTCCTCATTTACACATCAGAATCCGCCATAGCCAGACCTCCCAACCCAACAGATTTCATAAAGTCCTCTTGCAGAGCCACTCGCTACCCTGTTCTCTGCGTTCAGTGCCTATCAGGCTACGCAAGTTTGATTCATCAAAGCCAGAGACAAATAGCCATTGCTGCTCTCTCCGTCAGCATCTCGAGGACTCGATCATGTTCCTCCTTCGTCCACAAGCTTGGCCAAGAAACAAGAATAAAAAAGTCCAGAGAACACAGGGCTGTTCAGGACTGTATAGAGAACATGGGTGATAGCCTGGACCGGCTTCGCCAATCGGTCCAAGAACTAGGACGAACTGGTGGGGCCGCTGGTCAGGAGTTTGTGTGGCATATGAGCAATGTGCAGACTTGGGTTAGTGCTGCTCTCACAGACCAAGACACATGTCTCGATGGATTCTCTGGTTCTGGTTCTGGTTTTGATGAAAACGTCAAGGCTGAGATTAGGCGCAGGGTTGTGAATGTTGCTCAAGTCACTAGTAATGCTCTGGCTTTGGTTAATCGCTTCGCTTCAAGGCATCCAAGTTAAGATTTGGCCTTTGTTGATGTGTATATATGAGCTTTTTAAACTGAGGTTTGCTTTTTTTTAAGGTTGTTTTGCGTACTGTTTGATGTTTGTGTTCTGTTGTTTGTCATGTTCGTTCTCTGTTCTACTCACATGTAACAGATCTTCCTCTCCAGGGCTTCTTTCTCAGTTACAGCGACCATGATCCTTTTGAACTTGTAATTTTGATGAATTTCTGAAAATCATGCCCGAATCTGGTCTTAGTGGAATGCTTATGTCGAAGTCCACGAACAATCTTAATTTAAACGATGATTAAGAGATATCCAAGTAGAGACATGAGTAGAATATTGATGGGGATTTTTACAGTGGGATAATGAAGTTTAATGAAGTGGATGAACACGAACTACAGAAACTATCAAAGCTTAGTACCGATATGGAGTTTGGTGACCTACCAGGTAAAAAAGCAGGGATAGGGGTCCACCATATAAGGGTGGTGTGTTTGTTAATCGAAGATTCGAAGAATAGAACTGCGCTCGCACGTATAGGGAATATTATTTTCCTACTTTTGAGTCTAGGAAAGAGGCAAAAGAAATAGACTTGAAAAGGAGGAAAAGCTGAGAAAATATTTTTTTAAAAAAAAAAAAAACTGAGAAGATACATCAAGATTGGCGTGAAATCACCAATTTTTTAAATAGAAAATAGAGCATATTCCCAACAAAACATCCGGGACCACCGGACAACTTTGCTGTTTTGGTGCGAGATGATGTTTGACAAGTGATTTATAAATAAAATTTTAATTATAATTTATAAATTATAAGTTAAATATTTTGATTTATGTAAAACATGAACTTCACATTGCACACGCATAGGGGATGTTATGGATTCAACAAGTTAGGTAATCCATGTTATAAACTCAATTAAAATTTAATGTTTGATGAAAAAATAAGAGTAAAATAGCACTTAATACTCTAATTTTATTTTTCATGTAGATCTAACACATGAATCTTTTTCGTGGTTCAATCTCACCTTTTTTTCTATTTAATTTTTTTTGTTAGCCCTTTCTTTATTTATTTAAAATCATCATTTTCCTTCTATTTATATTAAAATTTAAAATTAACAATTTGGTTCTTTTTATTAAATTATTAACAATTTTCATGTAAAGTAATCAAATTATAATCACATTAAAAAATGAAAAATGGGTAAAATTGCACCAAATTTAATAGATCATGAGTAAAACTACACTACTAAAAAATTAACATATTGTGTGCATTTGAGAAACAAGATGAGAGCAACAAGTGTACCTTTACCAAAAATATTTATTCAAAGAAGAAAACAAAAGGCAAAACAATACATAGGTTAGATTGGTCAATTCTAATACTCTGTTTTCATATTTACTCATAATCACTTAAAAAAATATTTTTACATAAGTCGAGATAAAACTTGTAACACTTTACCTTTAGATCATACATGAAGCCAAAACATATCAATTGGAACCACTTTGCATAGCATTAGACTTGGGAAATCATATTTTAAAAAATCACTTTCTCAGGTTACTATTCATTTGGTAACCTTACAAATATTACCAAATTTAAAAATTCATAATTAATTCTAAAAAAATAGAAATAAAATGGTTCTAAGTTTTATTTGAAGCTCATTCATTTCTCCATGTAAGAAAAATATGTATTGGTCAATTACTAAATCCATTCGGGCTTCATTTTGTTCCCAAAAAACACTCTTTATTTGGTCAATTTTTATTTTCTATCCTTTTGTTTTAACTTTAAAAATTCATATCTTTTCATATAAAACTCCAATTCAGGTGATCTACCACTTCGTTTGAAGCTTAAAATGTGAACTCTAAGTCTATCAAATTTCACAGCCAAATTCGATCATTTAGTCATAAAAGACAAGCCTCAAATTTATGATCTTATTTGATTGCCCTAACTCGTGAAATTTGATTCTTAACTTCCATTTTACCAAAAGCTAATCATATCATCATGGATAATATAGCATAATACCTCCCAAGAAGTGGGTATAACCATCCATACAAGCATCCAACATAATATACATACGTTACATAATCTATTTAACTCATAATACAAACACATAGAATTGTATAACATCTTATGCAAGTTTCCTCTCAAGCTTCCATATTTTTTCTTTTCTCTGTTGATGAGCCATCACCTAGGAGTGTTAATTGTATACAAAAAGAGATAAGATTTCAAAAAAAAAAATCCCAGTAGTATAGAACAATAATTATAATATTAATAATGTAAGGTTTATTCATGCTATATACAATTAAGTTTCTTCACATATCTATTAACACTTTCATGTCATGGAAAGGGAGCATAAAATTGTTTCATTAACAACTCAACTACACATATTACTAAAGCATAAATGCAAGAAGTTAAATACATTTCATCATATATAACCCAACTACGTCATGACATAATATACATAGCAAAAATAACTAATATAATTTAATACTAAAATCGTAAGTCCTCGCTACCTCTTATCTAGCTTGGCTCTTCAATTTCCTTTGCTTGTTCTTGTGCCTCCTCTTGCTCAAAACTAATGTCTATCAATCACACAACAATGGCATTCTACATTACTCAAACAATTTCATTAAGCACTTAACTTAAAACCCTAGCTCTTAATTCTTAATTTTAAAATTTTTTCATCATCTTCCCTAACATAATTCTCTTAGGCTTTTCTTACATGATTTTTTATGTATAATTCATATTTGAACTTAGTTTTATCAAAATTCAATTCCTTCCCATCAAACCTCACTTGGCCGAATATAGGGGCTAGAATTCCAAAAATTCCATTTTTCAAATTTAATGCTTTCAAACACATTTTCTCTATATATTCCTACACAATTTCAGCTTTTAAACTGAAATTGCTAATTTAACCATTCATCACAAGATCATGCCACGTTTCCCCAAGTTGCCAAGTGTCCTTTCACCTATTAACCATATGATTTATAAAACACTATTTTATTAAATAATTTTGTTCTTCCAAGCTTACCCCTTAGCAAATTGTATTATCATATCCACGTCCTCTACCTCCATTTTTGGCGCCAAATAATATAGAAAAATTGAAAAAAAAATTTGTAGCACCAAGCTTTTGGTTATTTTACTGTATAATTTTTCAATATCAGTTAAATTGTTCTTAGATTCTGTCTAATATAGTACTTCTAAAAATTCATTTTTCTACCTCAATAACTTTTTTTATGAGGAGAGGTTCATTTATTTTTCTCAGGTCAAAATTTGACCTGTAACTGTTCCTATTTATTTTTTTTTAAAATCAGTTTTTTACTGACATAATTTAGTTTTAAATATTTTAAAACTAACCTCTGTTTTTTTAGATGTCGAGAATAATTTTAAAATTTATAATAACCTCTCAAGTAATTTTTTCTCATTTTTTGTGAATTATTAAGGCCTCTATATATTTAAAATAATTGATTTTGACCATTTTTTTAATTAGCCAAAAATACCAATAATTATAGAAAATTCTAAAATAAATTATTTTTACTTTTTTTGCACCTTTTAGGCCTCAAATACTATTCTAGACCCTTTATTTTATTTTTTTATGAATTTTTAAAAATTTTCAAGAATTTCAGGAATAATTTTTAGTTTTGCTCTTCATTGATTGGAACTTTTCAAAATGACTGCCCGGTCCTTCCTCGGGTTTTGCTTCAAAAGTTATTCTGTCTTTGTTTCTACTATACTACTTGGCCTTTGATCAGTCTTAAGTTTCTCACTTTCTAGGTAATTATCATAATATGACAAAACTCATATCACATACTTATTTCGAATTCTATAAAATTACTTTTGAAAACTATTCCAAACACCCCCTAATTTAGAAAGTGATATATTGGTTTTGTATGGTTGTTTGTTTTGTGTTTATATGGTCTATATATTAGTTATAAATTTGCGAGATAAATTTAGAATTAAAGTAAACCCATTATCTAACTCTTCTGTTTAGAATTGACATCAAATTTCATATGTGGACAAAGTAAAATATGCCATCAGCTAGAATAAATATATGATCATATTTTTGGTTGAATATGTATAATTAGTTTTTGAAATAATTTTAAAATGATTCACTAAATTTTATAAAGTATCTTATATTAGGGACCAAGCAAAACTTATTTGAAAAAATGTCTCGGTAAGAAAAAGTTATTTTTGAATCTAATGAAGAAGGAGAATGAAAGAGTAGAAAATTATTTATAATGATTCCAATAAATGCATTTAGTAAGAGGGGTTTAATCTTTATTCTCCCAGTCTGATAGAGATTAATCCCAAATCCAAAGTAACTTGAGGATACTCTGAATTATATAAAAGAAAATTATTTATAATGATTTTAGACATAAGTAAAGAAAGCTAATAAGGGCATCAGACCAGAAAACTTGATTGGAAGTTCTTCGATCACATAAATACTATATATAAGGATTAACGAAAAGAGACATTTAAAGAAGTTCTTCTATGAGATCTCTTAATAAACAATGTATTTGAAGATTTAATTGTGTGTAGAATATAATAAATATAATGAGTTGTTGTAAGTGTCAAGTTCATGCCGGCAATCTGTATTCCTCAGGCCCAGCAAACAGGAAGAAAGCTATATCCGATGATTGGGCTTAGCCCAGACATATTTGGGCTTGAGCCCAGTTTCAGCATACCAGTAAAGCGAGATTTGGTTATTTCTCATCCTTTCCATAACATTTGGCAGGATCAAAGCTTATAATATAGTGAATCAATATTCGAATTCTTATTAAAAAAGGTGCTTATATTTAATGTTTAATATTGCCTTAAACAGAATGGTCTCTAATAAAAGAATATTTATTCTTACCCAAAAAAGAAAGAAAGAAAGATTGGGTCTGGCAGAAAGAGTTAATTCTTTATAATGTAGTGAATCATAGTTGAAAGTGAATCATAGTTGAAATCCCTGCTAGGAGAAATGTCTATATTTAATACCAAAAATACTTCGAATATGATTACTTTTTAAAGAAAGAATTGATAGAGTGCGCAAAGCGATTTTCCATCGAAATATTTGAAGAAATATACCAAAGGAATAAAGCAAGATGGCATCTATTATCTTTTGCCACAATTCCACAAGTATATTGGTCTCACTAACAGAAAAAGTTCAAATAAAGACAAATGCTCCTCCGACTTTCAATTATAAGTCACTTTCTATCCTGAGTTATAGTGTTAATTACAGTTTTTTTAAATTGTCTCCATTTAA